GGCGAGGGGGTGTGCAGCAAAAGAGGCGAGCGTTAATTAAGAACAGACTCGCCACCCTCTAAGTAAGGAGCACTGACCAACCCTCTCCTCCCGCGCCCCCGTCTGCCCCTCGCCACGAGCGAAGCTTACTTCCTTCGTTCGTTCGACTGGCCTCGCCGCCCTCGCCCTGCCCTCACACCCTTCGCCGACCTTCATTCTGTAAGAGGAAAAGCCGAGGATTGTGTAAGAAGACGGAAAATGAAGGAAATACGGGGAACGTGTAAAGAAGGAATCGAAGGCGGATGAGACTGGATACGGTGAAAAATGCTGGGAGAAGTCGGCGAATTGCTGCCGCGTCTTCCACCTTCTCCGATTGTTCTCGAAGAATATCCGGCTGCACATTTTTTACGTATTTAGAGTGATTGGAATTCAGGTTTCGCCGTGCCAATTTGCCTGACTGTAAAATACGTTTCCCTAAAATGTGATCTATTTCGAGGATCCTCTGGAAACAGGGGCCGAGTAAATATTTGTTTTATTCCCTGCGCGTCCTCGATTTGAGCCGCGATGAAAAAGTACAGAATCGGATGGTTCAGAATGGCGTGTAAAGGATGATCAGCAGATCTGATCGCGACGACACCGGGGGCACACATGTTGCGAGTGTGTCGGAACAATAGCGGCTCCTCTCGGGGCCGGCGAAAAAAAAAAAGTCACCCAACTGTTCATCCCCTCGCTGCGAGAGCGTTATAAGCTCCCCCGAGCAGGGGCGAGCCGTGGCCGATTGTTTCCAACAGGTTTGCCAGCTTTTGTTTCAGCCCGTTCTCATGCGCGCCGGAACTGGTCATTGCTCGAACCCTAAAAACGGTTGAACAATGACCTTCACGGCCGTTACATTGCATCGTAATAACGACCCCCTATTTCCCATAGAGAACGCGAGATGGTAAGAGAAAACGTGTACTGTGTGCGTGCGTGCGTGCGTGTGCGCGCGACTGTAATCTCGGTGGAGGACGGGGGATTCATTCCACCGCTTTAAATGCTATAAACTGCCATCGGCGCTTAATCGCCGATTTTACGCGTTCCACACGTCCCTCTGTTGCTGTTGCAATTTGCTCGGGATGTATGAAAATGGATATTATTGAACGACATTTAATTGCACTGCCATTTCAATCTCTCTTTTACTTTACACATATCCAATAACTTCATTTAATCTTATAACCGTACCCTGGATTCTCATCATAGATTAAATAACGCAATCGATTATTGCATTCTTAAATTTAATTACCAAGAGAAATATTGAATCAGTATTAATTGCAGAAGAACGAATAATCGATTCTCTTATTAAAAATCCAAAAGTGTACCTTTCTCTATTATTCAGTTTACCGAACTAAAATAGTAAGCCTATCAATAACGTCGTCCCGTGTTACTGCTTATATACGCATTGTGCCGGAATTATGTATGCCGAGGAAAATACCCTACGTGATTTCCTGATTTTTGTGTCCTGGGCACAATGAAACCGAAGAGGCCTCGTTACGCGGCTTCATTAAAATTTGCTCGCATAATGGATCGGATTCTACGGAAACACTTTTAGGACGTCGAGAAAAGTTTCGCTCGTGGCCGAATAAAACGGAACCGTATGGCTTCGATAACGAGTACCTGTGTTATAAAATAAGTAGGCGCCGCTATTGTCAGATAGCGGAGCGATTTCGTTATAATTATATCTAAAGACTTGGTAAAGAATCATTCGTTGGAAACAAATATCGATTTTTGTGAACAATTATTGTCTGAAGGAAAATATTAATGAAAGACCTAAGGTTATGGCTTATTATTATTAGGGCGTACTATGTACTTTGTTGATTAGTGAGTATCTTTCTTAACTAGCTGACACCGTGGCATACAATCAATCCTCCTGTCATTAAAGATTTCTCTAATCATCCGAACACGTAACGGACGACGATCAAGCGAGGGGCACTCAGCCGTGGCAAGGTGCAAGCGGACAAATCCGTAAATTAAACAAACACCTTATTGACACACTGATCCTTCAGCATGAAGGTATCCTTCCCCTGAAACTAAACGCTGTCCACGAGGGTGAGAAAGACGACGGGGTAGAGAAACTGATCGCCACCGTACCCCACGAGTGGATAAAGAAAAGCGAGAGCGGGGCGGCGAGGGAATGAGCGAAAGGGATGGCGAGAGACTCGGCAATCCGAATGAACGAACTACATCGCATACGGGGTCTTAGCAGGACTTAACGAATATTGCCATCGATATCCGGTAGCCGACTCCTCTTCTTCTTCTTCTCCTTCTTCTGCTTCTTCTCTTCCTGACGTCGCGTAGGAACCTACTTCTGTCCCTCGGTGGCGCAAAGACGCGTTACCGAGCCCGTCGTCCTCGATTCGACTCGGCCCCGAGTTAATTTACCGCGCGCGTTAATTTGTTCCACGGGATTTTTCGTACTCGACGCAACCCGAGCTCAATATATTGAATCCTTTCCAGCATTCGGTTAATCTACAGTTTTTTCACGCGACCGTGTTGCTCTCCACGATAAGGAAAATTAACTATCCGTCGTTCCGATGAATCTTGTAAAACGTGTGTAATAAAATAGAATTTTATATAAAACACTCGAATACTGATTAAAATTGAAATCAAGTCGACACGAGCATGACTCGTATCCATACACGCATGATGATAATAGACAAAATACGAACCGTGTAAGAACATTACTGGAGAACCAAAAAAGTGAAATTTCATGGAGGGTGAATTTATATGATTGCAAAATTTAAACAGTAATTGGTCAATTCCGCAAATCGGACTTCTGATCGCTTGCCTCGCGCGAATTGGTCACACCTCCGTGATTAATGTACCGAGATTACAAATAAATTGCTGAAATGTATGACGGTTAAAAAGGACGAACGGGGAGCGGGAGAAGGAGCGGAAACAAAGGACGCAGGAGCTCGAGGAGGATTACGTCGAATTACACGGAACGAGGACAATAAAACATCTCGGTTTCGCGTTGAACAGAGAAAACGAAGGCTCCCCGGTTATTTCGTTACGCCACTGTTTTCTCCCTGCGCGCGTACGACGAGGAACACCCGTGGCCGGCGAGGTTGAAAAGAGTCGGGCGACAAGGTAGATAAATTAGCACCGGTAATGAAGACTGAGTTCAGCGTCTGATTAAACAAACACAGGCGAAACGCGAACAAGTGGGAGGCGAACGTGAGGTGCAGGCGATGTGGACGTTTAAAAGGCTTACCTCAAACCTGCAATTATGTCGAATAACGCTACGGTCAGTTTTTGCTTTGCCTCATCTCTCATTCAAGTGTTAGTTTGTCAAATACTTCGAGTCTTGTTTTTGATGATAAGAAAAGTGACAGATAAACAATTTTTGTTTAATTGATTTCAGAAATTTTCCGTTTCTTTCATTTTTTAAACATAATCACGTATCCAGGTACCAATGCCCTTTCCCAGACACGGAGACGTTCGCGTGTCGCGGTGCTAGCCGTTCGTAGAACGGTGTGTCGTTTCATTTTCGACGCACGTTCGCAAAATGAAAATGTATGAGCGCGTGTAATACGTGTACGAGCGTACGCATACACGGAGGTACGCGGAGGATAGTTTTCGGGGGCCCCGGTCAGCGGAGCACGAACTCTCATCGAGAAGAGTCGCTCGCTCGCTCAAGGCTGGAGCCTCTCGAAATTACGCGGGATGAATTAAAAATAGCGGTCGCTAAATCGTGAAAAACAAAATCCGGCCGGATTTATGGCCGCTTTTTGAGATTTCCAGTCACGAGCTATTAGTCGTTGGACGGTTTTGCGAAAAATACCGAAAATAATCATCGGACAGGTTACATGCTAATCTGGTCCTGACCAATCACCAACCGGCACAGACGTGTTGTAATTCTTTCCCTCGGCAGGTTTGTAAATCCGCGTTGGACTAAAAAAAATAGGCTCTCTTTATTACATCCTCCGACAAAGAGACGTTACACTCTGTGCATTTTCATTTTATCTGTATTTTCAGTCGCTGTCATTTCGTTTTATTGTCGTTTCTCATAAATTAATAAAGACAGTCTAGTGATTCGATTTGCATGTAACAAATTACAATGTGAAATATTCCATTTCGTCTCACGGTTTCTAAAAATGGAAACCTCTCATTCGTTTTGATAAATGCTAAAATAGAATGAACCTAATTTCTTTCGAACATAAAAGAATGTTTAATCAAAAAATACTAACATTTTTATTTCATTATAAAATACAATTGTGTAAGGCAAGGAAACTGACGCTGCTTAATTTCAAGAAAAGGCGAGTTGCAGAGAATGAATAATTCATTGTCAATCCGAGTTCCGCAGTATTTCACGGTTTATTTTCTGCCGGTGAATTAATCGTTAACAGGCGATCGTTAGATACTATTTTCAGTTCGAAGAGACGAGATCAAGGTCCGCGCAGAATAGAAAAGAAGCTGCCAGGTGGTTGAATGTTACCCACGAGTCGGTTTATTTATGATTTCCATTTTGCTTTTTTTTAACCGCGATGAATTAGCTCGCGCGGTCCTGGACGATGAGAACCTAGGTGAAAAAATAAGCCGGAGCGGTAATAATTATTATCGAAATCGGCGCGACGTCGGGGCGAGAAGTAAAAGCGATTCGTGACGTTCGACCGCCGGGCAAGGACGTTCAAGTTTAAACGAAAATAAAAATTCTGCTGTTCTAATTATAGAATGCGTTCATCCAAGCAGTAGCTGCTTAAATTATCGATACGCCGTGAGCTGGCGAATTATTATACAGATTGCCAATTGAAATTCACAGAAGAATAGATAAAAACCGTACAAAATCTCTTCCATATAATTAAACCAATATTAATTATCACTTTTACTATTAAGCTGAATATAAAATTAACTCTTTGCATGCATGCGCGAGCTTACGTTCAATCACGGATACGTGATTTCCGGTGAAGTGTTAAGAATATTCTATTTATTCTAATAAAAAGCATTTCAATATGATGGATTGCTAATATAATTTTATTCTGTTCCAGGCTCGCTGGAGGAATGTGACGTAAGCAGTGGCAATAGGCAGGAACGAGAAGAGATCACCGGGTCCCCAGAACGGTGAGTCACAGATTAATCAACTGGTGCCGCTCCGACGGTAATTATTTGGCTTGGCGATCGAAGTAATTACCGATCGCAGCGGCGCACCTATGCACCGTGTAATACGCGACTTGTTTTTCAACGACACTGACGCACTATCATCATACAGTGAACGCAGGCTCAGTCGAACTTTCCTATAACTGTTCTTAGCACAGGTAGCAGCAGCAGCAGATTCCTTGTGCAAACAAGCTTCCATTTTCAGTGAGTTATCATTCATTGACGTAGAAGCTCAATTTGCTTTTGGATAGAATACTTGGATGTTCCCAGGATCGTACGATGTGCATAAATTTTGATTTGAACGTCCCTACAATTGTTCTGTTAAAATAGGAGTTATTTTGCAAAGAGGCATGCTTTTTCAATAAATTCTTATTGGTCGAATCGAATCCGCTCCAGGATAAGATACTTATGTAATGTTTTATTAGGCTATGCTCCGATGGCTTGTTAGACTACATTCTGAAACTGCTCGAAAGCTTGCGACAAGGGTGGTGTTGCATGCCTGGGCTTCGTGCGGAAGGTCAATTCAGCATGGAAACGATGACGTTAATAATGCCGAGATAAAGCATTCCATGAATATAAATACGTAGCCGTGGTTTCACTGAAGTGACGTTATTAGGGAATTCAGAGTGACCTCGATTACATTCGGTGCAGCACTTCTATAATTCTCCTAGCAATCAATTTCGTTCCTGTTTGTCTTATGACACCTAATTTCAACTAACACAGCAGTAAAAGGCGTAGAATATAAATAGGGAACGTCAATTGTATAGATAAGAATTCGAAGAAAAAGATTTTAAAAGGACCGAGCTTTCTCGTAGAAACGATTCCAGGCGCGAGATGATCGATCGGATAGGTAATAGCGATCGAAGCAGAGTGCTTCGCGCGAAAAGAAACGAAACTGGCTAACGCGCGTCGGGGAGAGGGAGAGAGAGAGAGAGAGAAGTGGTGGTCTCGAGCGTGTTTCTGGCCCGGGGCGACGCGGAATCACTCAGAAGAGCAGCGTCCGGAGCCGTTAGCTCATTTTTGCGGACCGTTTACAACGTCCTGTCCACTCGCGTGGCATCGTTGCTGGCATTTCGATGCATAATAAACGAGCAGTTAGCCGTTGCGCGCCGTGGCTCACACCTCTCCGGGCCTCTTTTCTACGAGTCAAAGGGGTACGGCGGCCGTGGCTTTGCCTTACTCCCTCGCCAGGCTCTTTTCCTCGCGGCCGACAGTTGTTCCTCCTCTTTCCACGTTCCGCTCGCTTCGCGCCAGGTCCCGTCCTAAAGCAGGCTAACGCTGTCTTCTCGTTTGTAGAGTTCCTTTCGAGACGAGCCGCGCATAACGAGATGCGAGACGAGTTTCGTTGCGTTGTGTATCGTTTGTTGGCTGAACCGAGTCTAACGAATGGAAATCCGATTTGCACTCCCAGAACCGCTCCTTTTTCTCGAACGCACGTCCGCTCGGTGCGCCGGTTTTCACGAAAATTCGTTCGCCCGCTCGTTACGTGACCGTGTCTCCTTTCACGGGTTTAACTCGACACGGCGTCAACTAGACAGTTCGATCTTAAGTTATTAAAATCAGGAATTGATGATCGCAGTCATTTCATAAAATAAATAAGGAAGTCATTTTGTTGGTCATGTATAATTTGATTAAGAAACGCAAAATGGCTGAACTGATTTCCTTTTAAATTATCGAAAACTATTAAATCAGTTTTAATATGACGATCGTTTCTTGCTATAATTTATAAGAGTAACGGAAAATTTAATTTCCGTAACCGTTTTACAAAATCCACCGACTACACTGCAAAAATCGTAATTGCACGTAATAAAAAACGTTGCAGTTTTACGCTGGCACTAATTTCCCAAGGATACAATATTCTTAATGAATATACTCGTAACGTTCGATCATTCCTTTTGTTAAAAAAGTTAATAATACTTTTCAACGCTTTTGCATAACCCTGGCAGGGATCGGTTCAGCGTGTCAACAGTTAATAGGTGATTTTATAATGACGATTATGATTATGATCATGGTTATGGTTATGGCTATTTATAATAAGCGCCGCGATCATCAGATATCGGTATATGATAATAATAATGATAATAATTATAGTTCTTTATCGCGGCCGAGTTAAATGTAGTGTACGTAGGTATCTACTTTTAATAAAATTGCTGGAGTAAAAATTCTCCGTTGCGGCGTAAGAAGACGTAAACTCAACCTTTGTTCCCGTGAAAGTTCCAACTGCCCTTACTGCCAATTATAGTCTTACTCAAGACTCGTGTCGCGCACTTTACATTGCTCACATTTATTAAACGAAGGGAACTTATTATTATAAATAATTTTTTTAAGGAAGCTAATCAATTTTTCATCTCTGTATAATTTTTAAACTTATAAAAACGCATGTGCATATATAGAATAGTGATGCTATTATAATCAGGCTAGATCATCGTCGACCATGAGAAAGAATTAAACACGATCTGATCGACTCGAATTGGCTGAAACAGAATCGATAATCGATGCCACCTGCAGAAGGACTCGAAAACTAAAAAAAAAAAAAAAACGAGGTGAAAGAAAAAACGTGGAAGCGGCGCGCATCGGAGCGATTATTTGCGCCGCGCGACGATAATGGATACGGAAAGGCGGTTTGAATCCGGCCGAATGGGCGTATGAATGGTCGCCGTTTAGCGTAATTATTGGCGCATTGTCTACGGCACAATACCAGCCGCGAAATTGGCATGCAAAAATCGGATGCGATCCTATTGTACGCCATTGTGCCGTGCGATCCGTGGCCGTGCGTGGCCACCACCCCGCAGTGCTCCTCTCTCCGCGTTTTTGAATATTTCGCTCTGTCAATGCCGCCGTTCGCCAATCGAATTTAGCCTCGAACCGTGCCGGAAAGATTTTCCATCGGCTTCATCAATTACACGCAGTTCCATTTCTTTTTTTCTCTCTCTCTGTTCAATACCGTCAATCGATTGGAAACTTTTTCGATAATTCTACGCACAGTTCCATTTTGCTAGTGTAGATTACGATTCGATACCTTTTGATCTATCAGGCGAGGTTTACAATTAATTAGGAATTCTAAGTCGAATCCTTGAACGTACGAATACTACAGTTTTATAACAGTGGTTCTCGTAAATCAGCAACGGGTTCGTCCTACTTTCGTGAACGTTCCGCGTGTACGGCGACGGGTTACGTTGGCGCCGTTGTCCGAGGTGAAAGTTCACGGATGATCGTCGATCATCGAGGCCGCGGACATGATCTCTTCTCGTTCCATCTCCGGAGGAATTTCTGTATGTAGAACTAGAGGCTGGAGGTGAATTCGACTGGTTATTAGGCGAGGGACCGATTCCGTATAACTCTGGTTTGAACCGCGGGCTTTTTGTCCGTTGCGGTCAGATTGGCGGCCATTATGTCCCGAAAATTGGGCCTTAATTGTGGCGGCGGTAATGAGTCCGGGTTGCTCTAATGCACACGTAGTGCCTTAAAACGCCGCGTCTAACGGGTGAACCGAATACGTGAATGTCGAACGTAACAAGAGTTCTATTGTATCATTTCTA